GGTATACCTAACGCATTGTACGGAAGCCGATACTCAATTTCCAACGGCTCCGCAACGGGATTTAGGAGTATACTGAATTCTATACTGAAGTGGCGCAACCAAATGTCACATAATCGATATCACCTTTTGTTCCGATTCGATAATATATGCATCCATCCTCCCACTCAACTCAAAACTGAAATCGATTTGTAGAATTAACCAAAGTCTGGATGCATTTCCACTCTGAATTGATAACGTCTTCATTGTTGGGGGGGGGGGGTGACGAATCATCAGTCAACTGAGTAAGTGACGTTGGGAATTATCTGGTCTCTGACCCCCTCTAGAGAACGTATTACATAGTGGATTATTACTTTTACGACGCATGCGTAGGCGGCATTCGAAAATAAATACGTGAAGGGCTGATGAGTAGGGTGATAGAAAGTGTGGTAGTGCTCGCCGAAAGTTCCTGTCAAAATTAAGTATTTAATGTACGTAGATAAGAGTCTGAAAGGAATTTACTCCCCCCTTTGTATTTTTAAAGATTTGTCGCAGATTTGCTGTAGTAATTTGCTCCGTTTATCTCCCCCCTCCCTTCGAATACTTCTCTGAAATGAGAGTAAAATTTTAAACGTAAGTTAACTGCTCAATTAACAAGCTTAATACCGGAAAGAGCAGCCATAGCTAATTCGAAACCAGGATTAATCCAACAGAAATTAAAAAAAAAAAAAAAAAAAAAAAAAAAAGAGTAATAATCGTACTGTTTTAACCGAAAAATGTTATCTGTATTTTCAGGAAGTTTAATGAGAAAAACAAAAAATTATTAGTTTATGTAAATTTAGTCAGTGTTCAAAACAAAATTTAAAAGAAAGTGCTGTAAACAACAAAAGAATAAACATCAATGGAAGTGAAGAAATTGAGTTTATAAATGATATTAATGAACAACATTCACAATGAACTTGAACAATATCATAATGAATTCAAACTCACCTAAAAATGTCCGTAACAAACATTTCAAAACAAAACGTAAAAGCAATTTAAATATCGAAAGAATAAACATCGATAGAAACGAAGAAAGTAATTTGTAAATGACATGAAAGAACAATATTTACGACAGAGTTTCAGCAATGCCGCAAAAAATTCACACTCGTGTAAAAGCGTTGGTTAGAACTAAAAATGTCTGTTAGAATCAGTACTCGAAACAAAAGAGAACGCGCTATAAATAGCAAAAGAATAAACTTCAATAGAAATGAAAAAAAGTGAGTATATAAAATAGCACTGAAGAACAAGATTCACGAAAGAGCCTGAAAAATGGCATAATGACTGACGTGGAATTGTCAGTTAGAAGCAGTGTTCAAAGCAAAACGAAAACACATTGCAAGTATCGAGCGAATAAACATCAATAGAAACAAAGAATGTTATGTATGACATTAAAGAACAATATTTACGATAGAACTTCAACAATGTCGTAAGGAATTCAAATTCGTGCAAAAATTTTAGTTAAAAATAAAAATGTCGGTTAGAATCAGTATTCGAAACAAAATGAATACACTGTAAGTATCGAAAAAATAAACAAGAATAGAAGTGAAGTAAGAGAGAATTTATAACGATATTTACGAGAGAGATTGAACAATGTCATAACGTATTCGAACTCGCGTAAAAATGTTAGTTAGAATCAATATTCAGAACACAATGAACGCACTATAAATATCGGAAGAATAGACATCAGTTAATGTACCATAATGAATTCAAACTAGAGTAAAAAAATGTCTGCTATAATCCGAGTTAGAGTCTATATTCAAAACCAAGCGCACACACTGTAAATATCGAAAAGTATACACATCAAGAAAAACGGACAACGTAAGTTATGAATGATACAGTGTAGTTAACGATGCAATGTAATAATAATAATGTAGTAATGGTACAATGTGTAATTTATGAATGAACAAATTTGAATTGATAATGAGTTGAAACTCGCGTAAATATGTCGATTAAAATCAGCATTGAGAACGAACATCGAAAATATCACGGTATCGAAAGAAGAAACATCAATAGAAACGAAGAAAATAAGTTATAAATGGTATTAAAGAACAGTATTTACGAGAATTAAATCACAATGAGTTAAAAATCTGGGTAAAAATGTCGGTTAGGATTAAAAATCTCAGTTAAAATCAATCCTCAAAATAAAATAAATACACAATAAATATCGAAAGAATAAACGTCAATAGAAATAAAGTAAATAAATTATAAATGATATTTAAGATGCTGACTAGTTCAAACTCTTCTAAAATTGTCGGTCAAAATCAATATTTGCATTGTAAATATCGAAAGAATAAACAGCAACAGAAATGGAAAAGGTTAAATTACAAATGACGTTAAAAAACAATATTTACAAGAGAAATTTGAGCTATATCGTAATGAATAACTTGCGTAAAAATGCTGGTTTTAATTTATTATTTGGGGGAAGGGGGGAGTTGAAAGACGTCACAAGCTATCACACTGCTGTTAACCCAAGTATTTTTTCCTTTTGCATTTCCCATAAACTAATTGTTTTACGTTCATGGTTAGCGGCAATAATTTTCTCATCGTTCCGCAGTAAATAGTTAAGGGTATTGTTAAAATTTTTTGAGAGTAGATTCGGTTAAACCGCTTCTGGATAATGGAGAGCTGACTATATTAATATCCATCAGTCAAATACCTGCTTGAGTCATTTCAACAGATATGCAAAATATTCACAACCAACAGATAGTCTTTTAGCTCGTAAACATATTTTACTTTTAAAGGGGTTAACGTGTATGAAATATAAATAAATCTTTAAAAAAAGAAACTGGAATGATTTATTTAATTTGAAAATCATTCCTTGCGTTTGATTTTAGAGTATATTCAGTGTCTAAGATTGAAAAACCTGAAATCTTTGACCCTAATAACCGGCTATATGTATCTGAGAACGAATTTCCATAGCTGCTCAAGATGTCTTGTTTAGATGCACAATTGATTATAAGAATGTTGATGTAAATTGAAAAAGGAGTCCAAGCTACAGAATATTAAAATTATACAAAAGATATTCAGTGCTAAACAAAAATATTCAGTTCGCTTGATTAATAGACGACATGAAATATCTAACCTAGCTCAGAGCGTATTGAAAAAAGTTCATAGAAACTGACCTACTCTTGTATGATAATTCATTATATGTACTTCAGAAGATATACTTTTTTTCTGTTTTGGTGTAATAAAAAACATCAGAAAATAACACCGAAATCGCACGTAAGTGAAAACAACAAAAAAGAGCAAATTTGTGGAATGGTCTGATGGCAACGATATTTTATGTGCCCATTTGCTTTGAAAAGGTTCTTTCCTCTTACTCAGTATGATTAATAATTAACATAATATTCTTTTTTACAAAATTCTAAGAATAATTAGAAAGGGTCAAACAAAATTAATAGTATTGTAAAAGTTTGAAAGTAAATTATCTCGCGATTAAACTTAAAAGGAGATGAACAATTATTAAACAAATATATTCTTGGGAATTCTTTTTTTTCGTTTTTAACATAATTTAAGAAAAATTTAAATTTTTCTTAAACAAAATTAATATTATTGTAGAACTTTGAAAGTAAATTACCTTGCTAATGTGATAAATGTAAAAAAAAAAACTGTTATTAAGTAAATATATTCTTTGGGGCTGGGGAAAAAAAAAAAAGAATGACCGAAAACGTCATCTGTTAGCAAACCGGATAATAAAGGAGGGAGACCGAGTTACAAATGACAACTGATGTCGCAGCAGGTGTGCACAGAAAAGGGGAAGGATGATCTTTTTTGCAAGAGAGGGTTTGGATGACAAGCTATACATATCAATCACAGCTCCATCTGCGAAAAAGTAACACCGAAATATGTAGTGCGGTTTTAAATAGAATGCTACATTTTGGACAGCTTTCGTTGCTACGAAAGCTGTTGTTTTTCGAAACAGAACAAAAGGAAAGTTTTTAGAAGAAAATAAAGAAATGTTTTATTTTTGTATTTTAAAATATTTTTTCAAAAGTTCTCTACTAGTTTAAATTAATATTTTTAACGATACGCAACACACAAATATGAAAGCATTTCAGAAATAACGATATTTTTTATCTTTAGAAATATATTTCTTTTTTTATACTCGGTAATGATAATTATTAATTGTGCTAATTAAGAGAAAATATTGTTTCCAAAGCAAATGTGCATATAAGTTTTATGTAATATTTTAAAAGCAGATAAAGAGTTTTTGATTTGGAATTTTTTCTTTTAGAATTTTGAAAATAATGTGTACAGCAAAAATGTATAGAATTTAAAGGGAACTTTAAACTACGCTAAAAAACTAAAAACTTCAACTTTTAACTAGTAATTTAAATATAAAACAGCAATTACATTTTTATTTTAGAATGTAATATATTTGCATTATTCATATAGTATATGAAAACTGGAAAAATTCAATTCGGATTTTGATTCTAAGGAAAGTTTTAAGGAATTAATATTATATAAGGATAAATTATAAAAATAACAGAATACGTTTTTAAATTAGACACTTATAATATTACACAATATAATTTAAGCATGTTAATACGATTTAACAAATCATTTAACATTATCAGACATGAATTCTGTAACTTGGAGAAATTTTAACTAATTCATTCTATGGTTAGGTAAATAATGAAATTAATGATGGTATACATTGTTGTAAATCCCCCACAACTATTTGGTTTTTGAAGAAATATCCGTTGCCAGTTTTAGTAAATAGTTCAGTTTAATACATTTTAGCAAAAGCGAACAATTTGACGCATGAATGTACAGATTCCTTAAATCTCATAAATTTTGCAATTTTTTTTTCGCAATTTGATCCAATTTGCCACTTCTTTGATTAGTATGATTTTTTAATGTACTTTTTTTAACTGAACGATCAAACTGCTTTTCGTACTTATATTCCAAAAACATGTGTAAGTTTCTCTCACATAAAAAGGAAAATAAAAGTAGGAAGGGAAATATATAAATACACTTACCTTGGCCTGAGACACATGTGAAGTAGTATCCTAAAGTCACGAAAATAATTAATTGGACTAGCCCCAAATTCTGGCACTCCATTTTGTTGATAGTTTATATACACACACGAGCACACACAGTGTTAAATAAAATTAAATCTGCTATAAGTACTCCAGACTGCATACAATCTCAAGGAATGAAATGTCACTGCATTGTAGGTACAGAATTTATATATCGTCCAGTATTCTTCTTGTTTTAAAAGAAAAGGTCACCACTTTTATTCCTGAAACAAAATTACATTATATATTAATTATAAAACACAAATTATTTGTCATTATGCATTTTATAAAAATAAAATTTAAATATAAATAAACAAGGCTCTTTTCAAAGGAAAAAAAAATATTTATCATGAGATAAACCTTTCACTTTTATAGATATTTATCATATTATTCGATGATGCAGTAGAATAAAATAACAGCTTTGCACTGCGGTAAAGATTTGTAAAGATGTTTTTAATGATTTGATGTTACAAAACTGCTAAAAGTATGGCAAACTATTTTTTTTTTTTATCCAATTACTATTTATTCTAGATTTTATGTAAATAATATATGCTCTCAGCTAGCTGTTCAGATAAACAAATTAAAAGTTAAGTAATTAATTTAATAATATTTAAGCAGTTTAAATACTGGCGAAAGTTTCATGCTAAATATTAAAATCTATAAATCTTTCTGCTACAATTTAAATTTCATAAAGAAATCTATACAGTTGCCACACAAAAATTATCTTTGATTAAAATCAATTAAAAAATAATAATAATAATATAATTTTCTTTTAATTTATAAGAGAGGAGAACATTGTTATTACAAAATTTAATCAAACTGGTTATTATTATATTAAACCTGGTAAAATTACGTAAAAAGAACGTTAAAAACATTACAGTGTGAGAAAATATAATTTATTCATTTACCATTAAAATTAAATAAATAAAACATGCTAAAAGTTAGAAATATTTATAAATATAAAAAGTAACATGTTGACAACATATAGGAAAGATAAAAGTAAAAAAAAAAAAAAATTAGTTTCCTTTTTATTTTTTAATGGATGAACCATTTAAATTGACATCAAAGTTGCTGCCATGAATGATGAAACTTTATAAATAATTTATAAAACAATGCGAATAAAAATTATCTTGCCTCCTCTAACAGATGACACAATATCGCGTTTCACCCAAAGGGCCACCAGATGTTTGGCGAATAAAAACACATCATGACTCACTGATCACACTTGCACTCATATAAAACAAGGAGGGGGCCGAGATCCCCTTATCACAGAACACCAAACGATCCGCGGGAAGACAGCATCACATGCTTTACTCTCACTGAGAACTCTCGACCAACTGAAACTGTTCTCTTCCACTTCCACGGATCGGTTCTGAGTGTCCCACTTTTTAAGAAATACGTGCCTTCTCTTTTTTCCAATCCTTCCTCACTGTCCCGATCTCTCTCTCATCTGTCAGTCTGTCTGTAGCGTGGTTCTCCTACGCCGGATAGAATTTATTTTTCTGCAAATGCAATCGCAACAAAACCGGTTTTGTTTTGGAAGTTAGTTGATGTTATCGCCAATAGATGGCAGCAGCTACGAAAACTGGTGATTTCATTTGTATTAAATACGAAAGAGGTTTCTTATTTTTCTTTTTTTTTCCTTGTCTGGGTACATCGCGCTTTCTTTTTTTAAACTTTTCTTTTTTCGGGGGTGTATGCAGATAAGTAAGTTTCGGGACGAGCGCATCGATAGCGTTTCTGCGAAAAGAGTTGAAAAATTGTTTCAGATTTAACGCTAGGTGATTTCCTTAGAACTAGCTGCTTTTTTTTTTTTTTTTTTTACGTTGTTTAAATTTTCATATTACCCGCCCGCTGTCGAAATCAAACAAATAGAATTCGCTAAAATAAAAGCAATATTCCATTATTCTCCTTCGCTTTAAATGTTCAAAGTAATTTCAATTGAACAGTTAGTTATTAATAAAACTGAACTTATTAGTAAGTTTTGTAGGTCATCATAAAGAAGTCGAACTTATTATTTGTTATTAATTTTTAATTGATTTTGTTTTATGAATTTGCTTTATATAAAGTGAAAATAATAAGAAAATGATTATTTTCTGCGTGGTACATGAGCTTCTATTGGTGCGAGCTTTTTATCAATGTTGATTTACGTTAACGTGGGTTTTTATCAACGTAGGTGTCTATCAGTGTGAGAAGTGTTATTAAATTGTACATTTTCTTCTGAACTTCATTTAAACTTATTTCCACGAATTATTCTAAATTGAATAACCGATCCCTCAAGTCAAGTTGAAAATAACATCAAAAATTGCAAATTGTGGAATTAAATATCCTGGCCATTTTTTGCCGTAGGGGAGTGAAGCGTCTTCAGATTTTATTTTTTCATAATCAATGTAAAACTTTCACAAACGTAAGGATAGGAACTGGGAGATGGCAAGTCAAATTTCACTGTTTGTCGCGCATATATATACTTTTGGTGCTACCGATTGCAATAAAAAAAAAGGAGTTGCACAACTAGATGTTATAGCAGTCCCATATACAAAATTTCAACGTTCTACCGCTAATGTTTTTTGAGTTATCAGAGACACATACTTACATAGGTACGTACAAATGTCAGAAACATGTCATTTTTGAACTAATTTTAAATTCATTTTATAATTCGATTTGGAAAAAAGAGTTGCTTTTGTGTCCCTACGTACAGACGTCACTAAGGGAAAAAAAAAATACAAGTTGGATTCGAGAATGGTCGAAATTTTTCGCCATTATAATACTTAAAGAAAACAAGTTAGTACAAATTCGACTGAAAAATTTTCAAGCCCTTTTTTTATTAATTTCGATGTTAACGAACGTTTGTTTTTATGTTATTTAGTTCGCTTATGGTGTTTCACAGTGAGTGGAATTTTGTCATCGATTCTTAACCTCCTCCTTAGTAAGCTGTCGAGTTAAAATTTTGTATATGCACTGTGAGTCGGTGGCAATAAAATGAAGCGATTTTTTTCAAAACTCGATTTAGACTTTATTTTTTTGATTTAATGTTTAATCTATTTTTTACGTATATCTTCTTTAATAAACAAACTAAACATGTCAGAAATTTATTGATGCACAATCAAGAAACTTGTCGTATGAAAATAAAAAAATATTAACTGATCAGTTTTCTACATTTTTGAAAAAACGTGTTGCAGTATGAGGCAGACGGAGAGGGGGGGGGAAGTTACTCACAGAAAAATTCCTTTTCAGGTTGCCATCTTGGTGAACTTCATGACGAAATGGTGATGTTAGTTTTTATAAGCTTCTTTATTAATCGTAAATAAGATGTTCCGGGCTTTCATTATTCGCAATATAAAATTGTAGATGATTTTTGAAAAGATAAGTATTTAAACTATTATTCCCATTAAATTATATGATAAATTATTTTTGTAATTTTAGTGGATTAATTATCATATCCTGTTTAAATAAAATCTTATAGTGTAATTTTTTTTTAAACTGTTTTATTATTATTAGCCCAAAGAGGCGTTAGCCCAGAGCTATTAGTTTCGAAACGACATTTTACGTCAAATCACTGAACGCATTGTATCAAATTGTTGTCAGCAAATATTATTGCACTGTATTATACTCGTATTTGAAGGAAGTAAATGCAGAAATGTATCTTTCTTGCATTGTGAAAAGATTGCGGTACCTAGACACATACAGTTTAGAATAATGTAGTCCTCCACCCGAATGTGATCGCCTGGAAGCCCGAATTTTGAATTTCAAATTTGTTTTGATATCTGTATTTCATATTTTGTAAAACTGTAACGAATTTTTTATTAAAAATTCTCAACGATTTCAAAGCGAACAGTGACAACACTGTAGAGAATGAAACATTTTTATCTCCAGCGTGTGAGATTGTCTATCGGAAACTGTAAAGGTATGCTGCTTTTAAATATTTTTAGCCTAAGAGGGCGTTAACACAGATGCTCACGGAACGTGTATGTGCATGTAAATGAAAAAAAAAAAAAAATCCCTCTTTGGGCGTAATACAAAATCTGAAAACTTTCAGATTTTTTTTATTATTATTACTTTATTTAAAACTGAAGAAAAGTCGTCTGGTCGGGATTGCGAATGGATTGTTTATGTTTCCTTTAACGACAGCGATGCCACAAAATGTATCAAAATCTTTTACACTGAACAGACAAAAGCATTTTGCTGTTCGTTGATTTCACCTTTTGTTTCCCTGAGTGCTGTCAGAAAGAGGGAAAAAGTAGAGAAAAAAGAGGGGAAAAATATTAAAAAAAATAATAAAATTATTCAAATATTTTAAACTCTATTACCGGAAAAAAGACACACTGGTATTGGAATATGCAAATCCAAAGCTATTTCATTGATCGGCTTTGCCCTTCTTTTTAATCTGAATGTTAAACACCTGGTGATGACAGTTTAGAAATTCAAATAAAATTTAAATCGGCTAAGATATAAAAATGGGAAGAAAGTGGGAAATAACTTCTCAGGAGCAGGGTTAGAAATTTTACGTTCATGCATATGTAGAAGATAGGGGTGAAAGAAGAAATGTGTGACGCTACATAGCAGCAGCCCCTGGAATTACATTTTGAATGTTAAAACAGCTGCTCTCATCAATATTAACATTAGTTTTTTCAGCTGGGGAAGTTTTAAAGATAAGCATATACGCCGGATCAACAAAAAAAAAAAAAAAAAAAAAAAAAAATATATATTGACCATAGCATATATGACCACAAAATATCATATATACTTGCTTTTATTTAGTAATATATTTTTACGAATTTTTGTACATACGTAGATAGATGATTCTAGTGCAATTACATGTGAAATTGTTGTAATTTTCTGTGCAATGTAACTCGAAAACAAAATCTGAAGAGAGGAGCTATGCCGAGAAAGTAAGAATACAGGGGCAAGTCCATTTAACACCGAGCAAATGAGTATCTCGGTAATTTGGCGAGATATCGCCAAGCTGACAACGATTTAGAAACCTTATTTTGACTCCAAATTTGTCGAGAAAAAATCGCCAAACTTGGCGACATTTTGGTGCAGTCCCTGTATCACCGTAATAGGTATTGTAATTGAATAAAAGTAATTGACCACTATGTTAGCTGCAACCGTAATTTTACCCTCATATTGATTTCCAGTAATTTCGAGAAGCAGAAAGTACCAGAAATATCTCGGCGGTTGAAAACTATATGCGACCGGAGAGAGAGAGCATCTGCTTAG